CTCTGGCTCTGTCCAACGCATTGCCCAGCTCACTGACATCACTGGTTGCCAGGAGCTGGGCAGGACACCAGCCAGAGCATCCCGCTCAGCTCCTGGCAACCACTGAGATCAGTGAGCTGGGCAGGATGCCAACCAGAGCGTCACAGGTTGCTAACAGCTCTTAGCAACCTGGGACAATCAGGCCAGAAAGAGTGCGTAGGCATACCTGCCCCCCATGTGACCCAATCAGATGGCTCCTGAGGCAACCACCTCAGGCTGCCTCATTAAAGGGACATCCTGTGTGTCCTATGGCCGTGTTTTCCAAGTGTGGTATATGTTCTACCAGAACCAGCACTGTATAGTACTGCCGAAACATCAATAAAGTATATTTTATCCACGATATGGCCAATATTTTGTGTACCCATGGCCACCACAATTGTTAGCATGCTGTAGGTGCAACATCCATTCTCATATATTATACTGTGATTAGTCATTCTGCCAGTCGGTGGAAGTGTCCTTGTATAATGTGGACACATATGTTAATGATGTTATTTCCTGTTTCTATGGTTCTGCTGCTTTCCAATAAAAGAAGAAGGGCTCAGCTATGTGTCCAGCATAATCCTGACTGATAAGAGTCATATCTGCTGCAGCTTTCCAACGGTTTATGGTCCCAGCTACAGCCAAAGTACTAAATGCTGCTGCAAATACAGAAAAAGCCAAGAGCAAAACAGCCTCTGAAAAAGAAAGAGTTCAGAAAGCATATACACTGAGTGGCCAGATTATTATAACCACCTGACGTTTGTAGGCAAATTAGCTATAATTTCGCGCTGAAGTTGCTAGAGGGCCAGACCATTATAAATAGGGAAGCAGGTAGTTTACCACGACAGTAGAAGTGATTTGTTTCTGAAGATACGGGGAAACAACGCGATTTAACAGCCTTGGAACGGGGGATGATTGTTGGCGCTCTGAGCCATGGAGCGAGTATCAGCAAAACAGCAGAATTCGTAAATGTTCAAGAGGGGCTGTTTTTAACGTGTTTAAAGACCGGACTGTCAGCCGAAAATCTGGGTCTGAACGTGCGAATTGTGGGCGTCAGCGACTAGTCAATGTTAGGGCAGAACGGAGAGTGGCAAGACTGGTACAAGACAACAGAAGGGCAACAGTGCCGTGTCAGATTCCTCGCATCACCTTTCACCATCTCGTGGAGTCACGAGGCGGCCCAACGAAGTCATCTCGTGGAGTCATCTCGTGGCCCAACGAAGTACTGATGGGGTGGTCATAATAATCTGGCCACTCAGTGTATATGATGGTTACTAACAGTATTTCATCACAAATTCCAATTGCTAATCTGACAAACCAGAAATATCAGTCCTGAACATATAAAATGAAGATGCCGCTGATAAGAGACAGTGCGTGAATGTTTACACAAGAGGTCAGAGGTCTATAGATGAGTGGACAGAGAAAGATAAAAAAAAGCTCAAAGTACTATGTCTCTGAGCATAGAATATGGAAGTGTGAAAGTGCAAAATAAATGTGAGAGGAGCTACAGAAAGTACACCAGAGAGTAAATCTTAGCACGAATCTGTACTTAATTAGAAAGCTATGCCAGACAAAGCTAATGAAAGGCCTACACATGGAGGACTATGTGAGATGGACCTTAGAAATGGAGGGGACAAAAGAAATAAATATCGTAAGTATATCCTTAGTATATCTGTAAAAAAAATAGGTCAAAGCAACTGGACTTGCTATTTTTCTTGAAGACGTTTCACTGGTCATCCAACCAGCTTTCTCAATTCAGAATCAAGAAAGCTGGTCGGGTGACCAGTGAAACGTCTTCAAGAAAAATACAGCAAGTCCAGTTGCCTTGACTTATTTTTTACAGATATACCATGACCTGGAGGAATGAGAACCTTCACAGACACTGCTACTTAGTGGTCTTCCAGACAGCTATGAGATTGCACATGATGTCTGCCCAAATGATGAGCTTACCCTGCAATAAGTTAAAGGCAAGCTTGTGAAGCAATATAAGTGAAAAACAGAAAGTGCAAAGAGTGAAAGTGCTTCAGCAGAATCTGCACTACGAACCAACAACCGCAAAATATTATTATTATTATACAGGATTTATATAGCGGCAACAGTTTGCGCAGAGCTTTACCATATAAGGAAGACATTACAATACAATTCAAGACCAGATGGTAAGGAGGGCCCTGCCCCTGAGGGCTTACAATCTTAAAGGGAGGGCAAGTGGTACATGAGGGGGGTAGTTGTGTGGGGATGAATTATTTGAGAAAGTGATAGTTCAGCGGTTAGGTTGAGGTGGGATAGGCTTCCTTGAAGAGATGAGTCTTTAAGGAACGCCTAAAGGCAGTCAGAGTGAGAGATAGACGGACAGGTTGGGGTAAAGAGTGCCAGAGGATGGGAGAGACACTAGAGAAGTCCTGAAGGTGAGCATGTATGGAGTTGACAAGGGAGCTGGAAAGCAGGAGGTCAATGGATGAGCGGAGGGGACGGTTAGGGTGATACTTTGAGACAAGGTTGGAGATATAGCCGGAGGCAAAGTTGTGGACGGCTTTGTAAGTGGTTGTTAATATTTAGAATTTTATCCTTTGGGCTATTGGAAGCCAGTGCAGGGATTGGCAGAGGGGGGTTGCAGACACTGAGCAGACTTCTGGACGAGTCTGCAGAAATCTGCAGAATGAAACATGTGTTGTGTGCAAAAGACGGGTCACTTATAGGCAAACTGCAGAATTTGGAAAGCTAGAATGAATCAGCAAAACAGACAAGTTCAATAACAAAAGGTCAAAGGCAGTACATAAATAGAAGATCCTTCTGATATTCACTGTGCCTTTTACTCTACATTGACTCTGGAGCTACAAGTCATGGCGCATGATAAAGAAAAGCCTTCACTCATCTTAACTAAAGCAAGACAGAAATAATTCTAACAGCTAATGGACACTATATGGTCTGAGAAGGAATGGGGGAAGATTATCTCCATCCTCTATCCCAAACATTCACCAGAAAGATACCTATCGAAGATGCACTCTATGCTTCTACTCTTGAAGGTAACCTCCGGTCAGTGACGAAGCTCACCCAAGCAAGGATATGTAGTGAGATTCAGAGGCCACAAAAAGAAGCCACATGTAGTCACGTGGAAAAGTAAGTACACCCCTTGGAAGTGGCTGACATTTTCAACAAGCAAACTTTAGATTTTCATTCAAACAGTGCCTACACATAAAGGTGATATACTCGAATGTCACCAGCACACCAAACAATGTGGCCAAGTGTTTGTCCTTTAATGACGCATATTGTCATATTGAAGCTCCAATACTCGAACAAAAAACACATAAAAGTGGCATGATGTATTCATTCTCATTATCGAAATTAATGAAAATGTGTTTGTCACATGGAAAAAGTAAGTACACCTCTATTTACCACCACTTCAAATCAATATAAATTACAATCAGGTGCTCCAGATAAGGGGACAATTATTAGATCCTCCTCAGGAAGTATGCACATGGAACCTGCCTATTTGGACTTAGGGCCTATCTGATATCTAGGGTCTGGTGTTCTCTTTGGTTTTGATGTGTGTGCTGTCATCATGCCAAGACTACTAGAGCTCTCGAAGGCCCTAAGGCTGGGCACACACCTTACAACCATCGCAAGACTTTTGTCTTGTGATGGTTGTAAGGTAATTATAAAAACGTACGATCTGCCTATCTTGGACAGGCAGATCGTACTTGCGATGATCGCAAGGAACCCCCCCCCTGAGGGGCAGGCTTCCGATGACTGCAATGCCGAACGGGTAGTGTGCGCTTGCGCACACCAGCACGCCCCTCTTTTATCTTACGAACATGCTACACATCGTACGATTCTCGGCGGGTTTTCGAACATGTTCCTAAGATAAAAGTCGTGCAACCTTACAGTAGCAGAGGTCGCACGGCTTCCACACACCTTACGATAATCGTACCATCGCGGGATTTCCCGCGATTATCGTACGATTATCGTAAGGTGTGTGGGCACCTTTAGAAAGAAGGTTGTGGTCACTAATCAGTCTGGCAAGGGGTTTAAAATCATTGTCAAATTATTTTAAATGTATCATTCCACTGTAAGACAAATAATCTACAAGTGGCCCAGGTTTCAAACAACTGCTAATTTGCCCAGGAATGGCCGCCCAGCAAATTCCGCCCAAGAGCTGAATGTTTGATGCTTAACAAAGTATCCAAAAGAACCCCAAAAGTTAATTGAGGGATCTACTGTTAAAGGAGAATTATGAGGCGAGTGAATACATTCAGCCTCATAGTTCTAGCCGACCTGTGACAATGAAACTGTCACACGTCGGCTCAGCAGATTGGGAAGTGAGCGAACGCTCACTTCTCGATCCTGTCCCTGCAGAGAGCCGTGACTGTCACTCACGGCTCCCTTCAGGGATTCCCTCCCCCTCCCCAGTCCGATCCTCCAGCGCTGACTGGCGGACGGGATGGGGGAGGGGGCGGGCTCAGCTGGCTCTGCCTCTAGATAGGCAGAGCCAGCTGTCAATCCCGTAGCTGGGTGGATCTTGACAGTAATGTCGGGATCCGTCCCGGCTGCAGCGTCTCAGTATGGCGTGAGCTGTAGCTCGCGGTCTACTGAGCTTTGGGTCACGGGAGAACGCTAGTTTGTGTCCTCCCGTTACCCTTAGGAGAACTATGGGGAAAAGCCCTGACCCCATAGTTCTCTTGTAACTATTGCAACAGTTGGTGCCTAAGTGCATGCATCTACAATCAGGAAGACATTGTGCTGATTTACCCTGCATGGGAAATGTCTAAAAAGCATTACATCAAGACAACACTTTGCCATCGAACACATAGACAAAGACAAAGACTATGTGGTTCTATGAAAACTCTCCAGGAAAGAAAAGGTAGTCCTCATATTCATTGATATTCTTATAGGGGCCGTACGGCAGTGAGTTGAATAGCCGAATGTCACATTTGGCTGCGCTATTCTGCTCGGTACCTCCTAGGAGAATAGAAAATAAGTCAAATGAAAAAAAAAAAACTTTACAAAATTATTTTAAAATGTTTTAAAAAATTAAACTATTTTAAAGAAAAGAAAAAAAAAACAACTAAATTTAAAAATGACGCACGCCGACCCGACCACACACGACAAACTCCCGCCGCATAACTGTGTCTTATTGGCGGGGGCCTCCCAGAGTGGTG